TAGCATTTGGTCTTTAGGCATTAGACTCTTCAAGAAACAGTTTTTGCATGTATTTCAGTTTTCATTCTCCCGCTTTTTTTATCCCTTATTAAGCAAATAAGTGTAGGGTATAAGCGAACCTAACGAGTTTAGTAGTTTCCACCAGGGTCACTTATTGTAATCAACATGTAGTTTTGTTGGATCTACGCTCTCACTGACGTGGTAATAATTTGTATTTGATGAAAGATTACTGAGAATAATTTTATATGTTACTGGTATGCTCGTTTGACCAGTCAATGAGTTCCAAAAATCCAGAAGCAATGAGGCTGAACAGTGTATACGTGTGTGTGTGACTTTGTAAAAGGCTTGGACCCGGTGGGAGTTACCCAGCTCAGGGGCCATGTTTCGAACACTTCCTTATGCTAGTAACCGGTGCCCAGTTGTTGGTCCTGGTGGTTATGGTGCTGTGTACACAGTCTGTTTTCTCGCACGCCATACAGATGACTCAGCTCTATCGGGATTTATTCCACATTATGTTTTTATGCGGTTCTGTTTTCAGCGCAGAGATGAAAACTATTAATATAAAAATACCATCAAGAGGATTACTTCACTGTGTGTGGGGTACTCAGGTGTATAATCTAACAAATTCCCTTTTAATAACTGCTTTATAGTCCCTTTCACATAAATGCCACTATATTTAACAGCTCCAAAAAGTAGCACACAGACATTGTATTATATCAGTCCAGAATATATTGGTGTTCTACGATCTCGGTTTTTCTCCATGAGCACCAAGGGCCCGTTCCTGCATGTGTCTCCGTATGACGACAGCTCCCATCACCTTGTGGTGCTATCTGCATAAAGTTCCTGACTTACTTATTGGTGAAACTTGGAAAATTTATAAAAAGATTCAAGATAAGATGTACGCTTTATTTAACTCCACGAGGAGAAATTTACATGTCAAATTTATGGACTAGAGCCATCTCAGAATGTGCGCAAAAGGAGGGAAATGTGCAACATGTTACAAGCAGGATCTATGTTCACCAAAAGTGACAAGTGACAATTGGCTATTCTAATATAGCTGAAACAGTTCACTTTAATATATACTATGGGTCTAATTAAAGTTATTTTAATAGGAACATAGTCTGTAAATTAGAATTATATTTGTTTCACATTTTGTGAATATTATGTGTAGAAGTAAATAGATTTTTAAATTATATTATCTTTTTGCCCTAAATCCATTTTTCTCCCTGTTTGTAAGTGTGTGTGATGACATCTACATTTATCATCATGATATTTTTTAAGGCTCGAGTTTCAAAAAGTTTTCAGTTGTAGTAGGTATAAGTTTCGCCATCTAGAGGTGATGTTAAGATACATGCATACACGGGAACCTCTTAAAATCAATACAGTCCAGATAAACCCACCTCCATAACCCCAACCCCTACCATTAACACCCTCCCATACCCTCACACACAACAAATTCACCACATAATAATATAATTTTATAAAGCTCACATATCCTCATTTTCCATTCTCGTCTCTCGCTTCCTTTTTCGAATCTACATCACATCTACTCTTCCCCCAAACCTACCTACATGAATACTATGTACCTTAACATCTTAACCCACCCTTCACCACACTCATTCTCCCTTTCACCCACCCCCTCCCAACATCCCCAATAATTCCATCACCAACCCCCACAAAACCCAATCATCAATCCTTACATACCACTCCCCACACCCCCCATTATATACACCTTATAATACTTTCCCCCCAATCAACTAATAAACACCCCCACAAATACACACAACAACCCCCCAAATATACACACACATATACCCCACAACACAAAACCAACCATACAAAAAACAAAAACACCTTCTCCATAAATACTCCCCACGAAAATATCCATGCACACAAACATCCAAAATCACCACAACCCCTTTCCCCTTTACACATAATAATACCCAAAAACATCATACCCATAATCACCTAACTCAATATGCCCCCACACATTATACATCACCCACCATATCCATAAACAAAATACATATCTCACCAACTACCACAAAATAAAACTAAAAACTATTCCCCTAACCACCCTAACACTACGATAACTATCCAATAAACCACACTCCCACACAATTATAATTATTTTTACTACCAACTTTCTTCCCCATCCTGTCCTTTCCATCAATGATCCAATTCTTAAACATAATAATAACCACAAATCTATTGTAATAAATACTCCCATTTTACTAAACTATTTCAACTTAAATTCTCCATAACAAAATATGTCCACTATTAATATTGAACAGCGGCACACATTCTTTTACCCAAATCTACCTCTTCGCTCTCTCGCGCCTCAACCCAATCCTATCCCTCCACCCCTCCCATCGCGCCACGTAACAATCATATCTTCTACCAATCTCTCATAACACATCAATACAAAGAACCCCCCACAATAATACCCCCATCCTCCTTCCGTCAACCACCTACAATATCTCCACACAACCTCACTCTCGCTCACGCACTCAATCGCTCAATACCCCCTCCATAACCCTCCTCACCCACCCCTATTTCCCCCCAACACATTTCCCCACTATAAACAATCCATCCTTTCCTATCCTCTTTCCCATCTTATTACCACCCCTCCTATACCCCCTCAAACCCACCTCCCAAACCAAACAAACAACACCCCATAACACACCCACTATAACATACAAATTCACAAATAATTAACGCACCACCACGCTACCCACACCCAAAACACGACCTCTCTCTCACACACCACACACCCCTAATAGAGATAATTTACATTCTTTTCAACCCACCCCCCCCCAACATTAATCAACCCACACTTTTCACCATCCACCACTCCACAAATTAAAAACCACACAAAATCAACACCTTTCCCCACCTTATATAATTCACCATCCCCAACCTCCATTTTATGTGGTAATACCTAACACAATAAACTCCCACCATACACCATCACCCCCTAACCAACTCTATACTCCCCCCTCCCCTCCCCTACCCCCCCATACCCTACCCCAATCAATTAAATCCCCTCACCTGACCATAAGTATAACCATTCCCCTACTTCCAATACTATAAAAACTCACAACTTTACATTCAACACTCACAAATATTTCCCCCCCAAACCCCATTATAAATCACAATAACCACCATTTATAACTATAAAAACCTTCCCCCGAGTCTATGATCTGCCCCCAACACAATGCTGTGGGATTCAACAACATTCATGGACATTGGTCAACTCCCTATGGACCAATGTGTTCAATATTTGTTGTGTTTGAACTGTTTGATTCTCTGATTTGTGTTGGTGATTTCAACTGTGAGATTAAGTGAATACATTCATTTGAATCCAGAACCAGTCTAGGAATGAACCAGAACCAGTCCAGAAATGATCCAGGACCATTCCTTGGGAAAAGCGTCATCCATAGAATGTTGTTTGCCAAGTGAAAAAAAACAATGACTGCTCTGGGAGTTAAAGTTGGAACATTTAAGAAATAAAAGATATTTCATAAATATAATGACATAAATATACTACATAGAAACAGTCACAAGTTCAGAAGAAACAAATGTACATGAGCTGTTATTACGTGTCCAAAACTAAAACCATCACTTTGGCTGCTCGGAGTTCGTGTGTTATTATTGTTTAAACCTCTTGTCAAATTACAGGTTCCATATCATTCCAAAGTTTAATTAAACTTGAAACTGAGAAACCAACCTTTGCTGACTCATTACAAAGTGGAAAGTGTTTTAATGTTTATGATTATTATTGATTATATATTTGATTTCCAACAATTGAAAGCTTTGTTTCCCACTCTACTGTAACGAGTCTGTATCATGTACTGGTTTCACATTAGAAGTTGCATTGAATAAATATAATTTTCACCTGTACTGTTAAAAAAAAGACTTAAAGGCTTTTTCTCCCATTGGAATTTGCCACCTGTTCAACAGAGGCCTCTGAATTCAGAACAAAGTTAATTCCAAATGAACTTTTGAACGATACTAATTCTCTGAGTTTCTCCTGTGCATACAACCACAGGTGTGGAGCGAGTATATATTGTGTTTCTAACTGAGGCAGAATCCCTGACAAACCTTTCTGAATGTGCTTTACGAGAGCGTTGACCTGGGAGAAACCCTGTATTGTTTGGTGATGGCTGAGAGCTGTCCTCTTTTAGACAGCTTCAGCCGTGGACGAGAACCAGTTGGCCCCATAACAGTGTGTTATGATGACATCTCGACATCTCTGCGTTGGTCTCGTCTCCGCTGTGCGTACGTTTGCACACTGGAGCTGCGGCAGGCATTGAACCGTCGCACAAGAGGTGGCTTTAATCTGCTGCTATGTAAACACCAGGATTTGTTCAACGGCGAGATTTAAAGGCGTCCCTTACGGCCACCGCTCAAAGTGTTTACAGCCGGGCTCGGGCAGGCTGAGGGTTATTACTGCGCGGCTAACGACCACTTCACGTCATGGACTTCATCCCTGTGAATAGAAACGTCGTCATGTGGAGGAATCTGTAGTTAATGGTAGAAGTGGATAAGTCCATGGAGGCTCTTGAGGTACATTAGAGAGAGGAGATCATTGAATAGTTTCCACTTTACAAATCAGCAGGATAATTATGTGACTAAACTAATGGCTTTTCAGTCAGCGATGCCAAATCAGTTTAATAGTATTGGTAGAATTGATGTAATCGTTTTCTATCTTTAGAATAGATGGCAAATCTAAAGCTGTAGATATATTATATGAGCTCTTTTATTGTCATTGTAAGTAACAGGAAGTCACAAACTGTTTATAAAAAACTAAATAGGTATACACTACCTGCAGGTGAAAGCCAGATCCCATCAGACCTCTGAAGCTAAGCAGAGCCTGGTTAGTACTGTGATGGGAGACCTCTGGGAACAGAAGGTGCCACAGTGGGGCGGCTGCGGCTTTAAAGAGCCAAACTGTTGCTGTGTCCTAAGGCAAGACACGTCAACCACAATAGAATGAGTCTGATGTGTGTAAATGGTTGGTGGTGGTGGTCGGAGGGGCCTTTGTTCTGTCAGTGTGACCCAGGGCAGATGTGACTCCAGAAGTAGTTTATCACCACTTTGTATGGAGTGAATAAGTAATGATGTGAAGCTTCTTTGAGTTTTCAAAAAATAGAAACCGATGCAATATTACTCTACTTAATTGCTTCTACCGGTCTTGTTTAACCAGAACCAGGTCCTTCTTTAGTCCCTCTTGGCCCTGGTTCTTCCTAGTCTGAGCTGGTACTACAGTGTTCTAACTAACTGACAGAGATTGATTTGAGTGCTGTTGGTTTGTTGTGGTTAGGTTGCTAGGATAGAGTACCAGATACTAAAGTGTAATAAAAACACAACCAGGTAGAGTAGAATAGAGTAGAGTAGACGAGGACTGGTGGAAACGGGGCATAAAAATACCCTTTGATGATGCCACAGTTCAGATGTGTGTGTGTTTTTCTCATCTTTAATGCGTGATGTCGATCCCTCAGCACCTCACGCACCCCACCCCTTAGTACAATGAAACAATCACCTGTGATGGCGGTGACCTGCCGTGGTCCAGCTCTTGTTTTCATTTGAGCTCGGGCTTCGTTCTCCTGCATCCCTCTGCTCGGACATGGCTCGGTGCCCAACAGAAGGCTGTGTACAATGGCCCAGGTCCCATTAAATCTGCACAAGTCCCTTCCTCGGGTAAACACTGCCAGAAATAGTCCTGCTGGCTTGGGCCTTGCGAGTCCTGCCGAGGGGAGCTATAATTCTCAGTGTAATAATGGAAATGGTTTAATTTGGGCTCTGATTCTAGGACCTGGAGGAGCTCATTCAGTTTTCCTGCGACTGCTAAACGTTCAATAACTGCTCAAAACAATAGCAGCGATAAAACCTCTGTGTGTTTGTTTACCCTCTTATTAGTTGTTAAGTTTCGTTCATGGGATGCGAGTGGTAGTCTCTGGTTTCCGAATCACATACAGTTGCTCTTCAAAAGGACTGTTCGGTTATAAATGCAGTTCTTGACATCACTTTAACACTTTAACTCTCAGTCAAAGATCACTTTTCTGAAACTGCATCCCTGGATACACTGTAGGCCCTGTCTACGCAGCATTTTGGGGGTCTGAAAACGCACAATGGAAAGATCAGTTGAGAGAGACCAAAGAGAGAACAGAAACCCCCGAGAGACCAGAGAGGGAGACCAAAGAGAGAGACCAGAGAAAGTGACCAGGGAAAGAGACAAGAGAGAGAGACCACAGAAAGTGACCAGGGAAAGAGACAAGAGAGAGAGACCAGAGATCCTGGATCTACAGCCTGTCAGTCCATGGGAGCAGATCCCTCTTTCAATGTTGACCTCCTGCTTTCTCACATATCTCTCACTGTGATTAATTAACATTTCTGGACAGTAGTCATTTCTCACAGGCAAATATGTGAGAAACCATCTTTAATCCATGGTTCATTGGCGATGCAGGTCAGTGATGATCCGGAACATTTTCACACATTTATTAACATTTCTGGAAAGTCATCATATCGCTCTTTGTAAGCTTTGTAAGACTACTGTAGTGATTTAGAGTGAATATACTGTAATACTATTGCTGTTTATTAATAAGCAGCAACATAAGTATTTTGTTTAATGAAGCATATTTTTCCAAAGCACAATTTTCTCATAAGTCTTCCTGGAGGTCGTCACGTATTGCAGAATAGAAAAGAAAACAATATTATTTGGGGAAAAAAGCATATGGACTTACCTGCGCATGTCTTTTGTTCATTTTCACAGATTTTGAATGATGGCTGAGTTGCTGGCACAGGCAGAAATCCCACCTGCGATCATTTATACAGCTCCGCAGAGAGATGGCTGGAAAAGGGGAAGTGGAGGTGAATAATAGTGTCCAGTGGAGCTCTGGCAGAGAATGTATGTTTCAGTTTTTACAGGTGATTTGTGCTGACGTGTTCTAGAAGCATAGTCTTCATCACATTCAGCCTTAAGACGGACGACAGAAGTCTATACTCTGTGGTTAGTTCAGGCCCAGCACTGATCAGGTTTACAGGTTTACAAACACATTGACAGAATTGTTGAGGGATGCTTTCTATGTAATCAGAATGCGTTTAGAACATAGAATGTACATAGATGGACAATGCTAACCCACTATTTCAATGAAGCCCAATAGGAAAGTGCTCATGGACAAAGTTTGGCTCCAACTCACTCTGGTTCTTATTGACTTCCATGTAAAAGTAAACTCCTCTATCTCAGTCACTGTTTGTGTCACACTCACCATTTTGGGCTTCAAAATCTGTGGCTTGTTGCTCTCTGTGATCCTGGTGTTTATATTACAATATTGACTTTGTAAAACCAGATATTAGCCATATAAAGATTGACCAATCAGATGCCACAGTGGAGGGAAGCTCCAGTTTGTCTAGCCACCGTCTGCGAGGATAACATAGCAGCTATAGAAGGATAATGACTACAGTTAGCTTCTGTTCAAATTGGCTTCTTCTGCATTAACGCTGGTGCTTTACTGTGTCACATTTGGTCAGTCCAATCCTCATTTTCGTTCCATAGGTTTAGAATAGCTTTTTGAGGATTCCTTTCTTGTGAAACTTCATATTTAATATTCAGTTGTTGCTACCTTGACCTTGACTGATTCCTTGTATGTGTAATTACGAGACAAACCCTCATTACGGTCATCATCACACATTAGAGACTATGAAGGCATTCTATACATTTAATTCAGATATACTTACGGTATCTAAATATATACAGTAACTCCTTTACTCCTTTAACATGAGGACATTATTTGAATGATGTTGTGGCCAAATTAGTTATCTACTACTGTCCTATTTTTTGGGCTTATTATGAGATACTATTATTATTATTACTGTTTTTTAGGTGGTGTGGGAGGTTTTTGTTTAGGTGCACTGCCTTAAATGTCCAGTTGGGAGCGCACCTCGGGGTGGAGTTCGCCTTCTGCATTCTGATTTTACATGTCACACTTATTTGCTTTTTGGTGATTCTCTCATTTAATATATCTTGTGGAACTGTGGAACCTGTGGAACTGTTAAATTTATTAAATCAACTTAATCCTATGTGTAAGTTTTGGACATTCATCATGGCACCTGCACGTCAATAAGAGGATAAGGCCCAGACTGACAAAGTGAATACAGTGGGTTTTGGTCTTAATATTTGATTATTCTTGCACAATAGAGTAAACAGGTTCATACTTCTGTTTCGTTATTGTGCAAAAGATAAAGATTATGTTTTTTTCTATTATATTCCGAGTACGCTGCTCATTCCTATCTTTAAGCAACACTGAAATGTCCCCACCGGAAAATGAAGGATCTCTTCATAATCTATTTTGACAACACACTTTTGTAATGGCATTGAAATCATTATTAATATATTGACTAATGTTTTTGTGGCAGTAGTCAACGTCAAGAATAATTTCATATCCAAAAAAATACTTCTTTACAAAAAGAGGAAGAGGCTGAAAACAACAGAGATTATATATAATGTGTGCAGTATGTAGTTTCCTGTTGGTTTAGTCTCACTGTGTAATATAAAGACTGTTATAACAATCATATACTGTGCTATACCTGCTTTAGAGTCAGTACATAAATCTGCGTATCCTGCTGTCCGCTGACCTGACGCACGCACGCTCACAGAACCAGTGTCTTTGAAAAGCCTCACTGAAATAACCGGAGGCGTGCTGCGTCTGCCATATCCTCTTCCCTGGATTGTTGATTGTTGTGACTGCGTGATGGAGGGCGAACCTTCAGTATCGCGCTGCTAATTTTAACCCCGGAAAAGTCTCACTCGAAAACAGCGCGATGATAGGAGGCAGCCGGGGTCACGGTGGCTTCCGCGGCTGTGAACCAGGAGCAAAGGGGGTCTGAGTGCGCGCTGCTGCGGAGGGTGTTGTCCCGCATGAGAACTGGACACTCTATGGTCCGGCCATACGACCCACGCACCTGCGAACCGCAGGGCTTCAGCCGAGACGCGTGGAAAACATGGAAAGTGCGAGGATTAGATTTATAGAACATTTTTCACATATGCATCATACATCATACACATAACACTGTATTCTGTTTAAAGACCAATGGAGTTCTCTCTTGCGTCATAACGTCCCACGACACAGCTTCCTCCGAGACGCGTCCGCCAAAGTGCAAAGACCGAGAGCAGAGGTCGGGAATTTATATCAGCTGAGAGACAAAATAGCCGTATATCTTATTTTCGTGTGTGTGTTTTTTTACTGTTTTTGTTTTTGTTTTTAACAGAAACAAAATTGGAGAGTAATATTAGTCTCAGACTATTGATTTTTCTGAGAGCCAGACACAATTAAAAGAGCCACATGGCTCTTGCAGAGGTTCTTGACCTCTGGTTTGGGCATTATTCACACATACACACCACATTACAGTGTATTGAATAATGGCTATCTCTCATGTGGCAGGTTGTATATGTATTGTCCCATAAACTATCGGGAGTCCCATGACACGGCCTCCGAGATGCGTCCGCCAAGAACAGAAGGGAGAAGAAACCCGTATCCTGTCCGTGTCGGAGGCTCCAGGCGTATATGTGTGTTATTAAGTGCACATACAACTCACACGTATACATATATGTTCTATTCAACTAAAAATACATGTTCTATTAAAAATGCAATTTCTGTAGGGATAGACTAGTTGGTAAAAATAAAAGCTTCTCAATTTGATGCAAAAATTACTATACGTCTGAATTAATAAATACATATAAAATATCACAGCCGTAATGGACTCGAATAATGACAGTGCCACGTATGTTTCTGACTCCAGAGAAATGCATGTATTTTTCTGACCTCATGCAGAAGCCGCGGTGCTCAGCTTTGGCCGTGACCCGCGGTGAGAGTCTGAGGGGCCTCACGGATGAAGTACCGCCTCTGATGTTAATTGTGTTTTCGTTTTCGCGGGGAATAGATTTCCTCTGTTTATTATGAGCGTAGGGACGGATTTGCGTCACCGTGCAACTTGCAGGTCGAGATAAAGTTGCGCAAATATTGAAAGAAGGAAGTTCTAACAGTCATTATAAAGTGTCCCCCTCTGCGCCGGAAGAAATAAGGATTTCTGCAGTTTCCTAAAATACTGGAACAGCTTCTATTTTTGGGCCACATCTCGCAGGCGTATCCGCTCATTTAACACGAATCTCAGCCCATCGAAAACAGGATGAGACGGAGCTCATAGAGGCACTGATTACACACGCACGGCGCATACACGACATGAGCTTTGGAAAGGGATATTAGCAGGATGTTAGCAGTTTTATAAAAATGGAATCGCGTTCTTTTTTGTTTTGACTGCAGGTTTGAAACATATAGAGACTGAGAATAGGAGTTTAAAAAATAAATCACATGTATCTGTTGAGAAAAGACTTCTGTTCATCGGGTCTGATCAGGCCCGTCCTAAGGGCTGTGCGACCTGTGCCGTCGCACAGGGCCTCGCACCACACAGGGGCCTCGCAATCTTCCTTCCTTTTATTTTATTTTATAAATACACTAGTTCAAGGGTCCCCAAAGGGCAGACTGCACTCCAAATTTGGAACCCTAAACCCCTTTCTCTGGACCTCTTTGATTTCGTTTGATCAAAAGAACATTTTTACAAGTAAAGTCAAATTTTCACCAAAAGCGATTTGTAAACAGGCAGGCGCGCGGGCAGCTATGTATGCAACGGGTCCTCCGAAAAAACTGTCAGATAACTTTAGCAGTGTCTGAGTGAGATACAAAGAAAGTAACGGGAATGATCGCAGTGTAGGAGAGATGGATACTCGCGGAGGAGGAGCAGTGAGACAGGTGTGAGCAGAGGAGCAGACCCCTTTGTGTGAGCAGAGGAGGAGGAGGAGGATCAGCGGTGTGACAGGTGTGTGAGCGCTGCTATTGCCAATGTTTAGTCCGAATATCCACATCAAAAACATATTTTTAAAAGCATTAGCAAACACACTGTATGTCTAGCTTTAGCTAGCTGGAGTGTTTTTGTTGTGGTCAGAGTGTGTGGAGGAGGAGGTGAAGAGTATTTTGTTGTTGTCAGTGTGGAGGAGGAGGAGTGTATGTTGTCAGAGTGTGTGGAGGCATGGCAAAAACGTTATTTGATGAGAAAAAAATAATATTGACTCCGCCTCATAGCCATTTTGGCGCATTTTGCCAAAATCTAACTATTAGAAGAAAAAGACTCCTTTTGGTTCAATCTTTTGAGTTGCTCTACCATTTTGCCACAGGACGAAAGAGACATGTCAGCTAAAAAGACCGCGACCAATATTGCACGTAGAGTGTGTGTGCGTGTGTACGTGCGCGCGCCAAACGCTGCATAGGAGCGAAGACACTCGGTTACACGCGTGCTGATCTCGTCAAGCACCGCGCGAGGTGGTGCTGAATTCATGTCAAAGATTATAACAGGAAAAACTTTCCTCAGATCTGGGAAAAAAGTGTCAGGGCAGGGCCTCGCGTTTCGAGTTCGCACAGGGCCTCGCACCCCCCTTGGGACGGGCCTGGGTCTGATGACCAAGCGATAGAATCAATTGTTCGAATAGTGTGATGTTTGGAGTATTTGAGAGGGTTGGGCTGAAGCTATATAGAAAAATGTTCTGCCGCGATTTTCATTTTTTACCATTATTACTGAATATTTACGTATTATATGTGTGCATAGGTTTATTATTCATAATATTGTTATATTGTTGGTAATTGCTTTCCACTTGAGATTTCATGTCGTCGTGTATATGTGTGTGTGTTTTGTTGTGTTAATTGTGTAACACAGAATATGTAACATGTTATGATTTCGGGCACCTCAGTGACTAAAGGGGATATTATTAAACTAAACTAAACATTTACGCAAATACTCCTTTATTCTAAGACCTTTCTTAGGGCCTATAAGACTATATGCAATACATTTGTACACAACATTTGCCAAATAATCATAAATATAGTAAGCCCTCAGTCGTACAGGGATTAGTCAAAGCAAAGGAAGGTTTCTCGCCCAAAACTTGCTAAGAAGAACAGATGATGGGTGAGAAACCTTCCTTTGCAATCATAAATATATTTATTTATAATTAAATATGTCTTTTTTTTGACATATTTATCATATTTATTTTTTGAAAAATATGTGCGGTTATTAATGTGATGCCGTTCCTGGATGATTTAGAACAGGTCCAGTGCGTTTTATATCGCGCTTCAGTTCATTCACATTTGTCCGTTTCTATAAAGAGAAAAATCTTGAGAATGAAGTTGTGGGATCGTGTCACATTTTGCGGTCGGAGGAGGGAGTGGCCTCTCATTAAGTGATCAATCCCTCATCCCGGAATCAAAATTGCATCTTTCACAGGTCATGTGTGTGTGTGTGTGTTTGTGCGCGCGCGTGTGTGTGTATCTTTGCGTGTGCGCGTGCTTTGGTTCCTTCCACTGAGAAGGCGTGACGTAAGCCTCAATGCTGCAGCCATTGGCCCAAATCACGGCCAATCAGTGTCCGAGAGTGAACCTCATGTCGAGTCCGACTCTGAATTTGGGATTTCAGGGTTGGGAGAGCGATATTGGCACTTCCACTGAAAGGAACGACCAGCTGTGAGTGTTCGCTGTTTTTACATTTGATGCAGACTTCGTATCGCTGTCTTTCCGTCTGGTGAAGCCGCCATAATCCACATGTGTCTCTGAACGCGCTGCGGGATGTATACAGCCGGACTCAACCCATTTTACGCATCGAACTTCAGCCTGTGGTCTGCGTACTGCGCGGGGGGCTTCGCGGTGGATTCCATGAAGAAGCCGTCCTTTTGCATTGCAGATATTTTACAAGCTGGAGACGGGGACAACATCCCGGGCTCCTCCGCTCTCATGGTGCACATGGGGCACCACAGGACGCCCGGGCGCGCTGGCACACCTCCTCTGCGCCCGTCTCCACTGGCCCCAGAGCAGGCTCTGTACGCGGCCAGGGTGAGCCCAGCTTCGCCCTACCACAGGCACGGACTACAGCTCACCTCGGTGCCCCGACCCGCGTTCAACTCCCCACAGGCCCCTCCGCCCTCTAGCAAAGACCTCAAGTTTGGAATAGATCGGATACTTAGCACGGACTTTGATCCAAAAAGTAAAGACAAATCTACTTTAAGAGGTGAGAAAATTCAGTTTTTACTGTAATTGTACTGAACAACATAATGTTAGGGTAAAGCTTCTTATTCTTGTATTAAACTTGTACTTACGACGTTAGTCATTTAGGGCTGGTGGAAAGAACTGTACGGAGAGGGGCGTTGAACACACCAACAATAATAATCACAGCCGAATAGACAGAAATGTTTTGTGAAGAAGCATGTGCTGTTAGAGAGACATTACACGGGGTCACCCTGCAGGAGTCCTGCAGGGTGACCCCGTGTCCTAAGGCTGCTGCACAAGTCCAAGATCACAGCACTTGGAATGTTAAGGTTGTCTTTAATTATCAATATTATTATTTCAAACTCAAGTCAAATGTTGAGAATTAAGTTGTATGAATGAAGGTATACCTAAAATGATTAAAAATAGGTAATGCAAAAAAAAAAACCTGTACATGGTTTGAAAAGGGATTGGATGAAGCAAAAGGCTGATATTAAACCACTCTCCTGCCATTCAGACACACGCAGACATGCATGCATACATACACACACACACACACACACACGGAGTGAGACACAGGTACATTTCAAAAGGCTGTTTTTGGACATGGAGTTTAGTCTACTCACAACATACAGTTTCAGCCATTGTCAAAATTATTATTTTATATATTTTGTTCACACATTCATCACTGCGTGTTTACTTCTCCAATACAGATCTCACCTCCATCGTCAGCTCAAACCGTCAGTCCGGGCTCCACCACATCGCGGTCCAGCCTACGTCAGGACAGTACTACTCGCCCATGGACCCGGGGATGGAAGCCGCCTCCATGATGGGCTCTCTGGGCAGCAGCTGCAGCAACAGGCAGACAGGACAGCACCAGTTTCAAGACACCTTCCCAGGTGGTTACCACAGACATCCGAGCAGTAGCAGAGGTGAAGCTGAAGCATGTTACATGGTCAAACATGGTTAACGCATTCTAACAGAGCAGGCACTATGCAGACACATAACCAGCCTGCAGGCCACTTTGAACCCATTGGGAATACTTCTGCATTATGAAGATAATGCTTTTATTTATTTTTAAAAATTCTTAGCAAAGTTAAGCTAATAAAAATCATAGAATGATCTCTACCATGTCACAGTAAACCAGCCAAACTCAATTCCTTTCAATGTGTTTATGTATCGCCCTAAATCCCAACAGCAGCAGTGTGTGTGTGTGTGTGTTGGAGGACTTTACAAAGTTGTCAATTCACCAACAACAGATCAAAGTATCAAACAGTTCCAACATAGGAAATACAAACATATGAGTAATTGATCCATAGGGAGCAGGGTGACCCGTCCTCTCCTGAATCGGTGATTAACTCAGTCAGTAGTGGAACATTTTATCTGATTTGACTTAAGTGTTATTCAGTATACGTTTCCATATTCCATTTTTTGTGAATATGGAAATATTCATATTTACATAGTTGGCAATTTTATTACTTGGCCAAGATTATACTCTGCAAATCACTTACATCATCTTCCAACAACACATGCTCGCCTCTAAAACATCGGGGGAAGTACTCTGTTATTTGTGGTCTTTACCTGTGTGCTTCTACTTACTGTTCTAGGCCCATATGCTGTCCTCACCAAAGACACAATGCCCCAGACCTACAAGAGGAAGAGGTCATGGTCCAGAGCCGTGTTCTCCAACCTGCAGAGAAAAGGCCTGGAGAAGAGATTTGAGATCCAGAAGTATGTCACCAAACCGGACAGAAAGCAGCTGGCCGCCATGCTGGGACTCACGGACGCTCAGGTGAGGCGGGCACCATCAATGCCTTTTATATTATATGTAGAGATCATTTTAAAAAAAAAGGAAATCTTGTGCGTGTGTGTGTCATTTCTTTTTTCATAACAACAGCTATGTACAAATACATCTATGCATTGCCCATCATTATCATGTGTAATTATTATTATTATTATATTTCCTCTAATGCATGAAGTGCTTGTATGCTGTAGTACAATCTCTCAAACCCCAATTGCAGAAACCCTTTCTGCAATTCAACACTTTATTTAATTGTTTGTACTCTAGGAATAAAACTTTAGGATTTATTTCTTAAATTTAGATTATTAATTTTGAACCTGCAGAGCACATATTTTCACGTCTATCAATATAACAGACAAATAACAAGTACACTGTTCTAAAAGGGATGAAGACCCTTCCTAAATCCAATCTCCTCCAGAGGCTTTTTGCAATTCAGTATACATTAACATAGTTAGAAAAAACTTTTGGGTTTTGATTCTTGTATAAACTGATTTACTAATAAACACTTCCACCATCTGGTAAATTACAAATTACATCAACAGCTCCTTAGAATGTTTTAGGTCTCTTACTCTGCTTTTAACTGTGTGTTGTCCATGTCCTCTGTATTTTATTCATTTAAAATGTTATTTATGCTCTATGAAATTTTACTGTTTTTATTTAAACTGTTTTTATACATCAAAATGTGTTATTTACATTTTATTGTTATATACATAAAGCTGGCAAACCTGTAAATGTGTATATGTGCTAAATAAGTGGGTTGGATTAGAATTACATCGACAAAATTAGTGTAATTCAAGCAGATAGATATTTATTGACATGTATCCACATTTCTGGACAGTGATCACCCCACTCCCATAGAGACCAAGGCTGCTTTTTGTTTGTAATAATTGCATCCCCTGTGTTTGCACTGTTTGATTCTCTGATCTGTTATTCGTGAACTCACAACTTTGTAAAGTCCTCCGAGACGACTGCGGCGGTGATTTAGGGCTATACACAAATATATTGAGTTGAATGTATCTACTGCAATAATAATAATAAAAATACTGCAGTAAATCCTTTTTCTACGGACAGCAAGAAAGAGAATAGTTTTTTTTTCCAAATGCATTCTCTGCCTTTTCTCTGCAAAATAAGTTTGAAAAAATACCCGTGTTTTGCAGGTGAAAGTCTGGTTCCAGAACAGGCGCATGAAGTGGAGACACTCCAAAGAGGCGCAGGCCCAGAAGGACAAGGACCCAGCGGGGGACAAGACTCTGCCCGAGGCCCAGGACAGCAAAGACCCCACCGAGTCTGACTGCGACAGCGAGCCCCGGAGCCCACGGAGCGACTGCGAGTCCGACGAGCCCGCGGAGGTGGAGGAGGTGGAGGAGGTGGAGGAGGACGAGGCCATTCCTTCGGACGTTTCTTCGGTTCTCAACAACCACACAAGCGTCATTATGAACGGGACATGCACGCCGAGCAGTCCGGGGAGTGAGGAGGGGAATACGGTCACGGACTCTGCGGCCTCCCAGGGGCTGCTATGAAGGACAGATATTTACAGTCTGTGGGGATACAAGTGAATGAAAACAGGACAAGAAAGACGACTGCATGGCTTTCCAAACGGACTCATGCTGGACTGCGGAGGCATGGCTCGGACTGCGGAGGCATGGCTCGGACTGCGGAGGCATGGCTCGGCCTGCGGAGGCATGGCTCGGCCTGCGGAGCTATTTCGAACATTTACAGTCTATGGTTAATTCATGAAAAGTATGCAATGGAAAGCAACATAAGCTTGAAAAATGAAACATAAACTCACCGTTTTAGCAATTCGGTTGGACATGATGTATTTTAAGTTTACGTCCGTGATGACTTTGCCACAGCTAAAGGAGCCGAGATGAGACCGGAGCGTAGGGTCAGCCCATGGTCAGCCCCAGTGCGCCCTTCATTAGCAGCGTCTTCGTGTTATAATTTTTATGTATTTTTAACTCTAGAACTCCCAGAGCAGTCAGTGGGACGGCTTTTAGTTTTGGAAGAGTGATTACTCGGCTCATGTACATTTGTGGTCTTCATAACTTGTATTATTATTATGATATATATTGTCTTAATCAAAATTGACATTTTATTTTTAAAATATGAGAAGTTATACCTTTAGCTCACTTGATTTCGTTATCAGCTGTCAATGAAAATTAAAGCCCCTTGTCAAGCCACTGGTCTTGAACTGGTCCTGGACTGGTTCTGGTTCAACTTCTTTCCACCAAAAGCGAGTGCTGGTTATCACAGCAAGTAGCAGTTAGCATTAGCCTTTTAGAAAACTGATTTTGTTGTATTTCAGTCATATTCACTAGTTTTAGCACTTCTTAAAAGTGATTAAACGTAAAAAAAAAAAAAAAAAACAATTGTGAAATTCAATCTGGGGAAAAACGGAATTTCTCAGGATTCCATTGGTTTGAATTGGAGCAGTCAAAATGACGGCTCTGGGAGTTCTAGTGTTAAGTGAAGAGAAACTTTGTGAATTTTACAATCAGGTTATGAACCACTCAAAATCTCAGAGCATCAGATGGTGTTAAAATATTTTGTCTAAATATATTTGTGCTATTTTGTTATTGATATTTGCACTGAAAAATATGTAAATAAAACGTTTCTTATGTAAGTAAAACATTGAAAAGTGTTCCATGGTTTATTCTGTTATTTGTCCAAATATATCATTGTCGTTCATCTGAACGCTGTCGTAAGGAACAGCTGAACCTGCTTCTTTCGTTTTGTTTCTTACCTCTTGAGTCCACTGCTATATTATAACTATTGAATTTTATATATAAAATTATATATTTAATTATCATTTTATAATTAGATATCTGTAATGTGGGCAATATTGAATTATTTGGGATAGCCCATTTGTTGGCCTATAATCTGAACTGGGACACATGCATACACACATATACATGTACACAAACACACACACACACCTGACTACCTTAACTGGTGAATTGTTATAATTAATGTCAACATACTTCTTTTAAATGTTGTCCTGTAGCACTTTTTTTTTTTCTTTCTGAAATGTCTTTCTCACAGCTCAGATGCAGTGAATGCAGATTTTATAGCTTGTGTACATTATCTGGCTCCAGCCGCAGCAGCGTCCTGGGTGTTTTATGTGCACGACCGAGATACAATCAACAAGTAAGTGTTTCAGACAAAGAGGGTTTGACTTCTGCTTTCGGGGTGTTGGGTGATGAGGCCAATATTCTTTATAGTGCAGCCTACAAAACCAATTCAATAAATAAATAAAAAAATGATGTTGTACAATAATAACAAACACATGGAGCCATTGGTCCATAGGGAGCAGGATGACCACTGTCCAGAAATGTCCTGGATCATCACCTTCTTGCATCTGTAAGGACCCAAAAACAGTGGGAAAAACCTCAGGGAAGAGAAGCCCGTATGAGAGAGGGATCCGCTCCCACAAACAGACACGGTGTCGCTCCGGTACTGAAGAGTTGCTCAATGTGACAGTGTGACTCACATAAGAGGAGGCGGTGGCAAATTTCAACAGTAGATGATGACCATGACATACTGATGAGTGTATTTCCCAACTGTGAGAGAAATAAAAGGTTATCTTTACAAAGTCTGTAGACAAACTTTTGTATGTCTTTGTTGAGATAAATGTTTAAAACACGAACCAGTTCAGGGATTAAAATGTAGCTAACAATTTCACCTTTCAAGCACAGACTGTAAAGATGGAGAACGCTAAACTGCTCGCTCAATGAAGCCCAATAGTGACGTGCTCAAGTTTTGCTACTATTCGTTTACTGTAATTTCCGGACTGTAAGCAGCTACTCTTTTCTAGTTCTTTGATTCCCGCGGCTAAGTAATGCAGTTAATATGTGTATTTTATTGCGGTAGAGTTGGGCTGTTATCAGAGCTGAGTTAATGGACTCATAATATCTCTGTGATAGAGCCATATAAACCAATAGCCAACCAATTGAAACTCCAGCTTACCTTAGTAACCATCTTCAAATCTGTCTTTTCCACATTAAGGCCAACACTATGGTGACGCCACACTCGGTCTGTCACAGCCCATTGCTTACAGGTCAAGCTAAGAAGATTCTAAAACTACGCTAAAGTCACATGAGGACTTTGCACAATGACAGCGTAACGAGCCAAGTAACTGCTGCTCTTTCCTTATGTTGGAAAATATTTATATGGCTCCACATATATGATACCGCCTCAGTCCTGGATCTACAGCCTCAGTCCTGGATCTACAGCCTCAGTCCTGGATCGACAGCCTCAGTCCTGGATCGACAGCCTCAGTCCTGGCTCGACAGCCTCAGTCCTGAATCTGTAGGCCCATACATATTCTATGATCTGTTTTTGGTGAATCCACAACTTTGTAAAGTCCTCCGAGACTGCTATTGCGTCCTGGTCGTACCACACCATCGTACAAATTACATTTCGTACATGCAGGGAAGTGATAAATGACCGGAGTTTACGGATGGGTGCTGGGTGCTAAGCCAGGCTGCTGCTGTTGTGACATTGAATTTAATATATTAGTTGGATTCTCTGGAGACATGGGTTTCAATGCGCTTGACGTTGATTTTGACTGATTTTGAAAGTTTATTTTGAAATTTTTCATGCTCCTGATTGCCTGACCTACTCCATTAAACAATTGGTTGTAGTTTATGACAATCAGCTAAAAATGTGGATGTTAAGTTTGGAATATTTACACCACAGCACTGTACATGATTCTCCCAAACTTCACCTTTTGACACAAGGGAAATTGAAAACTCAGCATTTTTCATATTTCTCCATGTAACATTACTTTGACCCTGAAAACCATTGTAATGTAAGTATTTTCCGTCCCACTCTACAGCTGCCGGGCTTAGAGTTAATGCTTGTGTAAGATAAGAAGGTGAGTGTGTACATATTTGGGAGGTCCTGCGCCTCCTGCTCAGTATTAAACCTGATATTTGCGTGTTTACTTGTCACTAAGTGTTTTATACTCGGCGAACAGTGAACATGCCCGAGCTATTAAGAGGTTTGTTGATGGAAAAATGAGCCTGATGGAACTTAAAGGAGAAAACGATCTCTGCTGCAGCTCACATTAGTTTATGAAGGTCATCATTAAATAAACAATGATTTTACAGCTTTCAAATGCCCACATATTCTTCCGTGGTAAATATTTATCACTACAGTTATATATACACGTGTTTATACCCTGACAGAATGTGTGACTTTGTAGACATTTTTCAGACAATATCAATAGAGCTGCTTCTCTTTAGTTTCATCGGTATTGTCGTTAATAAAAACTAAAATTCTATTGAAATTCAATCAGCTTATAAAAGTAACACAATATAATATGATGGAATTCAAGACCAGACACACACACACACACTCACACAGGCATGCAGACAAAAACACACATAAGGACATACACTGTAAAACATTTCAGAAAAACGGCAAATAGCTGACAAATATGGAATTTACCGTTTTCTCAACATGGCATTACCGTTGCTAATTTTAACGGTTAAAGACTGTTTCACTGAATCACATTATGAGTTTGTGATTCCAGGATTTAACTGTATGTTCCTGTTCATTCACACACAACAAAAACAGCGTTATAATGTTAATGTTGTATTATTACACCATACGACTGTTTCTGTTTATAATTAGTTTCATTGAACAAAAAACTACACAGTTTAATTTATTTTACTTTAATGAACACAACTTTTCAATTATTTTTAACATCTTCAGTTTATACGAGAACATTGTTGAAATCTTTACTTCTATAACATGCTTAATGCAAAAGTATCATTCTAACTAAGTTTACATATGTAAGAGGTACCTTTTACACTCACGGTTGCTCGCTAGCAAAAATTTCCCAGCATTCCAAAAATACAACAAGTTTATGTTAAATAACGGTAATAATACCATTTAATCACATTGTGATTTTATGGTATTGTAACGTTTTTTGTAATCACATTATAATTGTGGTAATAAAACGCCACTGGAGGTTTTTTAACCAATTTATACTTAAATTTGCATGTTTTAATAGTTTTTCAAAATAACATTTGTTTAATGTTGAAATTTCATTGTAATTTTACAGAAATGTGTTACAGTGTACGTATAGACTGGACCAATGGATAAAGTGAAGATAATAGATTATTCAAATATTTCTTAAAACCCTTGAAACCATGTGTCTTTTAATTTCACTCCCAAATCAAACTCTTTAAAAAGACAATATTTGGTATTTTTTTGTAAAATAAAAATATTGATAGATTAGTAAATTTCTCATATGTTTTATCTGTCAGGCCGGTGAAGCAGTTCGAGCAGCTGGTGTTGTTGTAAATGTGCTGCAAAATAAATCTGACATTGACATATGGAATATAAATGCCCAGCAAAAATTTTTGAATGTTTTGTTTAAAAATCTTTTTATTTAGATCAGATTTCCAGCCTCCACTATTGGTCGATCACACACACAAAGAGGTCGAGGGTAACTATGCTTCTGTCTTTGGGCTTCGGGATGAAAGCTTATTGGGTGGGTACAATTTTATCA